AGGAGGGACTTTTTCCCCTGTTCGTAACTCGAGGGAAGTTCGCATGTCGAGTCCTTACTTTCCCTATAGGGCAGGTTCGTAACTCGAATTGTTCGCAAGTCGGGTCGTTCGTAAGTCGAGACCCCACTGTAATATTTTTTGCCTGGGATATTATATATTATAAATGAAGTTCCCACAATAAAGTTTTAACTATTCTTTGGAATCCCATACCGTTGAACCTGTAGAAGGAAATGGCCATAATACTTCCCACAGTAAATCTCTGTTCAAATGTAGCTTCTTTTTGTTCTCCAGGGAGGAACGGGGGGAAAGAATATTATGTGAGCTTTTTCTGAGTTGTTACTGCTATGGACAGTAACCAGAATCTCAGTATACTGTGATTGTCAAGAGACTCAGAATAACATGTTTTCTTCTCTTTCTCAAATCTTACAGACACATGAAACTCGAGAAATTCTGCACTTTCATTATACAACATGGCCTGACTTCGGAGTCCCTGAGTCTCCTGCTTCGTTCCTCAATTTCCTGTTCAAAGTGAGAGAGTCAGGGTCACTGAGCCCGGAACATGGGCCCATCGTAGTCCATTGCAGTGCTGGAATTGGAAGATCTGGAACTTTTTGTTTGGTTGACACTTGTCTTCTCTTGGTACGAACGGCTTGGAGAAATAATTGCCCTCCTGTCTTGTCTAATGCAGTAGCAGCATGGGCTCCACTTGAGTAGAATCAAATGTCTTTTGGAAATTTAGACCAAGCCATTTATAGAGTGACCATTTGGACAGTGGGCTGACCTTATGAGCCTGAGACATTTTGCTGTCCGAAGCAAAGGACAGAATGGTGTTCCTTTGTATCCCACATGCAGAGCCTAGCTGGAGCGGCAATAGAAACTTTGCTGTTCATATAGTGCCTACTAACACACTTGAATCAGCATAATAGTTTAGCAGACCCTAGGAAGGTTTATGTGGGAACACACAGTTCTGTCTGTCAGCAGAAGGGAAGACTCAAGAGGCAGGCACTGCTGCCCTGCTACTGCCATCTACAATCTGAGTTCATGATTCCACTCTCCTTACTGGTCGGGAGACCAACCTTCCTGTCTGGGTTGTGCTTTAGCATTTCGGCTGGGTCGGCCACAGCAAGGTCTTCCCAGTTTCACCTACCCAGCCAACCATACTGATGCAGTCTGTCATAGGGTACCACGGATATTGTGAATCTCCAAAAAAGAAGAGAGTGGGTGTGTTAGGAATACCAGAAAGAAATGAGCCGATCATTATTGTTAAATGCTTCTGAGAAAACTATTGAGTTCTATAGACCACCCCATACTTTAGAAGTTTATTTCCATTTCAAAGCTTAGAACAAACCTTGCTTTCAGTGAAGTCTGTCTTCTGTTAGTCAGCAGCTGCCGCCCACTCTTTCCCCACCCTAGCTTTGTCTTGTTTCAATAAATGTGTTTTTGTTATTGGCCGTAGAACTATGAAGATGATTAGTTCTATCCTCTTTATACTTCTGGCCTTAATTTTTCAGAATTACTGTGCTGATTTTTGAGCTGGTTTCCAGAGCTCATGGGTCTCTTCAGAGTTTCTTTCTACCATAGGTAGAAGCCTCCAAGGAACTAGCCATTCTTTCCTCCTTCCTCTTAATTTCAGTTCAAGCTACAGTTACCCAAGGTTGGGAACCACTGTTTCCAAAGATTAGCTCTAGGAATCTCCTTCCCTCCCCCCAGCCATGTCTGGAGGCTTTAATCAAGCAACCTAATCAAGTCATAACAGGTGTTTCCATATTCTTGCAACTAATCAATTCAGATGCCAGCAGCCATTTTCGTCCTGTGGGGAGAAGACAGGGTAAAATGGGGAGACAGGGCTCAACTCTATGGAAGTCGCAAGGGTCTGTGGATGTGGTAATGTTTCAAGAGGTTTGTTGCCTTAATGGGACTATCGCAACCATAAACCTTTGCACCCTCTACAGAGTTAGCTCTAGCCACCCTATTCACATCTTCTCCACAGGATGGAAATGACTGTTAAAATCCAAATTCATCAGTTCTAAGAACTTGAAAACATCCTATTAGGGCTTTGCTTGCATCTAGCATTTATCACTATGTATGATAACAGTTTTTGTTGTAAACTCTTGGGTATTACTATGCATGGGAGGTTAAGGGGACAACCTAATAAAAAGTTACTACAGTGGTGCCTCGCTTGATGACATTAATTCGTTTCAGCGAAATCGCTGTAGAGCGAAAATGTCATCAAACAAAATTTAAAAACCCATTGAAACGCATTAAAAGCCAGTTAATGTGTTCCAATGGGCGAAATACCTGCTCGTCCAGCGAAGATCCTCTATATGGCGGCCATTTTCGGGTGCCCGTCTTGCAAAAAATGGCTCCTAAAAACAGCCGCCTAGAGTGGTCTGTTGACTAGATAGGCGGGATATAAATAAAATAAAAGTAAAAAAAAAGTAAAGTAAAGCGGGGAGCCATTTTGAGCAGCTGGTGGCCATTTTGAAACCCTGACGATCAGCTGTTTTGAATGTCGTAATGAGAAGAATCGGTTCCCGAAGCAGGGAACCAATCATCGCAAAGCGAAAAAAAACATTAAAACATCGTTTTGCGATTGCAATTGCAATCGCAAAAACATCGTCGTGAAGTGGATTCATCGTTATACGGGGTAATCATTAAGGGGGCCCAACTATACAGTCTTTCATATCTCCTTTATTTGTGTTTGAAATCTATATTAAGTCTTTCCAGCCGGTAGGCCATTGTTCTAAGTCAAAATTGATCTGAGTCTAAATCTAAATCATTGTTGTAAGTTATTAGATTCTCCACTCAGTTAGGCCATTATGTTTGTGAGCATGTAGAGGGAGCCAGGGATGCCCGCTCCAGCCTCACGATCTCCATTTGAAAAAGCCTTCAAATGAACATCATTTTAGGGCTCTGTGAAACTGAAAACCACATTTTATGATGATTTCCAGTTGTGTTGAGTTTTTAAAGCATAATCATCTAAACATGATCAGAGGTTTTGCCCACACTTTCCCTATCTGCAGGGGAGACCAGGAATGGAGAAGGTAGGCTGGAGCATATGGCCCTGGCAATATATAATGCCTATATAATATATAAAGCCCTTGTACTACAACTGAGAAATTGCAACATAGAACCATAGAATAATGGAGTTGGAAGGGGCCTAAAAGGCCATAGACTTCAACTCTCTGCTCCGTCCAGGATTCCTAATCAAATTATATCTGACTGGCAGCTGTCTCATTTTCTCTTGAATTGTAGTGCTCACTGAAGGTAACTGTTTCTGCTGTAATGCTGCTCTAACGGTTAGGAAGATTTTTTTCTGATATTCAGCTGAAATCTGGCTTCCTGCCCATTATTACATTCCCATTAATTGCTTTTGTAATTAGTGTCATGAGTACAATTCCCTTGCCAATTTATCCTTGCATAAGGGCAACCATCTAAGGTGCTGGTTGTGTTCCTGGGCATGTGCCCTGAATTGCAGCCAGCAGATTGTTAATAAAAAGTTTGGCATGGTTTCCCTTATGCAAAAGTAGATTAGCAGTGGGATTGTGGCCTGTCTGTGGCTTGTGGTCTTTGGAGTTGTTTTTGTTCTCTTGATCTACATTAATATTAGTTTCCTTACAACTTCTTCTCTTATGTTATATATATATATATTTTAACACCATACAAGATATTACTCTGCCCACTACTGTGAAGTTCCTTTGGGGAGATGTGTATATACAGGGTTTAAACAAGCAAATACACTTTTTAAAAAAATGAATTAAAATTGCAGCATAAATTGTCATCTTTCTCTTTTCAGATGGACAAAAGGCAAGATCCTTCTTCCGTCGATATTAAGCAGGTTCTTTTAGAAATGAGAAAATATCGGATGGGGCTTATACAGACTGCAGACCAACTTCGTTTCTCTTACTTGGCTGTTATAGAGGGAGCAAAATTTATTATGGGTGATTCATCTGTACAGGTGAGTGTTCCTATATGAAGTATGTTACCTGTTGCCCTGAGAACTAAACACTCTGGACAAGCCATCTTTCCTAGAATATCCCTATCGGCAGTCATGGGCTAAAGGGGATCCAATTATGATCAAATGCAGCAAATTCATCTTATGCAGCAAAAGTGGGTGAAGGTCACCCAAAGCCTTCCTTTGTGACTCCAATCCATTTTCTTTTTCTTTTTTAAAAATCAGTATATTGGTTTTTCTGCCAAAGTTTGGTGGCAAGCCACTACATCAACTGTTTAATTTGTTAAGACCAGTATTTACTCATAGTATTGATTGAGGGAGAAAAACTTTAATTGCCTTTAATTACAAGTCCATTTGTGTTCTTAAGTATTTATCTTCCTTTTTCATTTAAGTAGTCAGTGGCCTTGTGTATTAATACCTGCATAACACTAAAGCATTACTGTTTGAGGTGAATTATCTCAAGTTAAGAAATCATCAGAGATGTTATCTGTTGCAAGCTGAGTCTCCTAAGTGGGTATGCAACAGATAATATCAACAGTGGCTTTTTAATCTAAGGCAGTTCACCCTACCAATTACCATTTCACTGGCATAACTACACATGAGAATTTCAGCCTTTGTTATTTCAACAGCCTTTGTTGTTTAAGCAGCCAATAGCGTTTAAGCAAGTATGGAGTACATGGTTCTCAAAGCTGGTTTTAAATAATTTTAAATTGTTGAAATACTTAATTTGCAATTATCCTTTTAAAATAATTGCTTAAGTCTAAGCAGATATGTAGGGAACATTGTATTTCTTAATATTAACAAATGGTCAGTTATGCAGATATATCTTATATGTTCCTATACGTGTATGTTTTTAAATATATGTTCTAAAAGATATAACATTTTATAGATAAAGATACAGAAATATGAAAAATCCGACAAGCTTCACTTCTTCCATTCTGACCTTTACACCCTTTTAAGAGCATAACTCCCAAGCAGTTGGCCAACTGGAAAAGTGGTCTCCAGCCCTGCGGAAGTTGCCTGTTCCTCTTCTGCAGACACATCAGCATAAACCAAGATACAGGAGGCCATGCATTCTGGCCATCAGCTGATCCAGAGGTCGTTCCTGTTTGTTTGGTTTTTTTTTACAGTTCTGGAGCAGCAGAATATTCTTTACAAACATCAACTCTCGCCCTGGTGTTACAGCAGCCCATTTAACTGCCTGCTTCCTCCTTGCTGCAAGAAAGGCTCCAGCATGAGAAGTGTCTCTGTTGGGTTCCATGCAGCTGCTTCCGGTGTGCCCTGCCACATTGTTAAAAGGAGCCTCAGCAAACTACTGCAAACTCACATTTTCTCAGAAACGATGATGACTTAATAATGATCTTGTAAACCTCTGAACTCCTGGATTTCAAGAAATCTCTGTGTTTGTCATTTTGGAGAAGGTTAATAGGTTTCTGTTTGTGTTGAAGGATCAGTGGAAAGAGCTCTCCAAAGAAGATTTGGATCCACCGCCAGAACATACGCCCCCACCACCAAGGCCACCCAAACGAAGCACGGAAATGAATAATGGGAGGGTGCATGAATACATGGAATTTTTTCCAAAGCATCCAGTTGTAGAAGATGCAGTCACATGTGCAGTCAGCACACTGGAGGAGAAAATTCCCGATGGCAGGGTTTGCTCGGAGCAATTAGATATGGAGAGGTAATGTTGATAAGGATTATCTCAGATCACTTACAGCAAATTCTCAGTGGTTCTGAAGCCACTAAAGGGCTAAATCTAATGAAGGGCTAAATGTAATTGTTAGCCCCGCTGAATTCTGAGCATAGTGTAGTTGTGGCTAATACTTTTTATTTAATCTAAGTTGTCCTAGTCATGTAACATTATTACACCAAATCAATGCCCCTCTTTTCTTTATTTATTAAAACAAGGTGAAGATATAAGTCTGAATCCATTTGCTGTCCCAACTAGAGAAGCCCCCATGAACTGCTGGGTACCTCAGTGGTTTAGGTGGCGAGTTCAATTCTCACTGCCTTCTTGATAGGGCCTGGACTCACTGACCCCATGGATTCCCTTCCAGCTCTACAGTTCTAAGTCAATTCAGCTAACATGCCATACATTTTAGTGGGTCTGTTCAAGATTTAGCCTGTGGTACTGTTTTTATATCTCAGTGCATAAAATGAAACAGAAATGTGATAGATGGGAAAGAGTTCAAAACTTTTAGGAAAGATTCTTTTTGTGTTTTACTTGACTTGACTTTTACCCAAAGAGGGACGTTCCAGGAAAGAAGGCGGCCATCCTTTGTATTTTAGTTAGGATCCTTTGCAGTTAAACCACTTGCACACGGGTTTTCTTTTTACAAAGCGTGTGCAAGAGGGTATTCCTTGTACATACATAAGCCAGCTACTTTGTCTGCCTTATGAGAGATCCCATGTTACATGACCACTGTCCCTTCACTCTCCTTTGGTTGCCAGTAGGATCCTAGCCAGACAAGTAATTTAAAGAATTTCAGCACCGTCGTTTCTGTCATTTGAGAAATCCATGGACTGCTTAATTAAAGCTGTAACTGAGCAGTCTTATTTAGTTATATCACTTCATCACACTGTTAGGCAAAGAGTAGTTTTTAAAAGCAGACGAACCCATTTTTACATGCATTCAAAATCTGGCAACGATAAATATTAAATATTAACTGACCTACTTGGAAAGTAGGTCAGTTCACAGAAGATGTTGAAGGACAGCCACATGTTTATTGTAAATGTCTTACTTAACCTTTGTACTCAATGCTAAAAAAAGCATTTTTCCTTTGGAACTGAAATGTTCTTGGTGGAACTGAAACAATGTCAGGGTGTGTGTTGTATTATTTTGAACTTTTTTAAAGAAGAGAAACAGTAGCTGATAATAATTGTAGAACCAAGCACTTCCAGTTGTTTAAGGTCTGCTACAATACAACAGAGAAGTGGTTGATTACTTTGAGAGTTTAGACATGATTAAAGCTTTCCCTGATTCTTTTTTAAAAAACTAATCCTCGTGTTAGGTTTTGTTTCTTCCTTTGAGGACGTATTACCTGCCAATCCATAAAGCTGAAATTTATGATCTCGAAAAAGAAGGCATATGTATTAGGAATGAGATGTCATTTGAACGCTAGAGGTCACTGCTGCTTCATGAGAAATAATATGCAACTGTCAAATTAGAGTACTCACCATTGGCCTGTTCGTTTTTAATCTACAAAAATACGTGCATTGCTGAAAATGCCAAGAAGTGTTCGGCGTGCTCATGAAGCACATTCAGTGGAATCTCTAGTTCGCCTTTTTTTGTTTCAGGGCTGAAAAACCATATAGTGTGTAAGTGGCACTCATGTATCTGGGGATCCAATGCATTCTGTTAACCTTTTCCCAATAGAGATCCTTGACTTTCTACCAGCAGTGATAATGTGCCAGCTGGAACTGTTAGATCAGGTGATTAGTGAAAGTCGAAGCCAAAATCAGCAGAGTCTAAGCCAACCAGTTACAGTTTTTTCCTCATCCTTGCAGTGATTCTTGCAAAGACATGGTAGTGCATCGCCTTAACTTGTACCATCTCACTGAACTGGAGAATCCATACTATGAAACTCGATTCTCTGCTAAGGCAGTGTGGACTCTACTCCTATTTCAGTAGAGGCAGGAGGAAGTAGTCCAGTTTGAAATTGCATAGGCCGAGGAGGGCAGTGTCTTGCTTAATCTAATGGACCATCCTCCATGCTGTCTTCTGTACCTGAAATTATCGATCACTCCTTTTTATCTCTGCATTTGCTTCTAAGATTTGAAGTTCCTCTCCTCACTTGACAAAGCATTCTTCTCATCTGGATATATTTACCCTTGTTCCACAGCACTAATCCAGACACTGAGCTTAGGAAGAGAACTGTTGATGCTGCGCCACATAGTGAAGAGATGGTGAAGCCAGAAGAGGAGGAGGATGAAAATATGATGTCAATTTGGAAACCATTTCTGGTCAACATCTGCATGTTCACTGTCCTGACAGCAGGGGCGTACCTCTGTTACAGGGTGTGTTTTCATTGATGGACCTGCCAGAGATGGTGGTACTGAAACATCGGTAAAGTTATTGGTGTTTAACTTGTTTGTATTGAAAGAAAAAAGAATAAAAGCTAAAGGAGGGCAACTGAGCCTTGTCCCGGTGGAAGTATATCTTAAATTTGAATAGCTGGAACTATGGTGAGGGCTTAAAGAGAAAGTTGATGCACTAGGGTTTAATTTTTTTAGCCCTATGGTCCCAAGAACATAATATTCTAATCTCAGGGCCTTAAGATATTCAGGAGTAAGCAGAGAATATGCCAAATAAGTCTTGTGTTTTTCATTTTTTTTCCTTATTTTTTTAATGGAATAATAAGAGTTTACAACACATTGTTGTTTTTTTAAGTCTTTTAAAGCCAGTTTTTTTTCCTTTCAACTGTTTTTCAGAAAAAGAAACTAGACACAAGTGAAAATTGCTTGTATTTTCCGAGTGTTTGTAACCAAATATGTGATTGGGTTCTTTAAAACACCACTATACACCCACACATACACCTCCCCTGAAGAATGTACAGCTCTTTTTGAGACAGGAGAGCTCTATACTGCACACCTGATTACAAACTGAGGGCTCAGTCTCGAAAGAACCACTTCTGTGTAACCTCTGTTAATTACCTTGGCTATTGGTCAGGAACTGCAGTGAATGAATGCAGATTATGTAGTAGCAACCCTCTCCTGTGCCCCTCAATTGGATTGCATCCTAGATATTGTTGACAGTGCAGGTAATATTTGCTGTTATTACATGTCTAGTGTAATGGCCATCTGCTGTTGCTCAGGGCATTCCTACAGGTCAGCAACTAACTTTTTGTGCCCACTTTTTTGGACACAATAGATGCTGTGTCCTCCCAATCCAATACCATCTATTGTAGATCTTCTTTTGCACTCTGTGCACGCTTGCTGTTGAATTGCAGCATCTGAAATATCTATATATGTCTATAGTTTCTTAACTTTTGGAAGATGGGAATGGAGATGCAGTCAAAATATGTCCACCAGCATTTACTTACTCTAAAAACAACCACTTGTTAAACTTCGCCATAATTTGGAATGTAAAATGCAGTTTCACGCTAGACTTGCCATATGAAGAATGTACTTTGTGTTCAAAAGAGGCGTTTGATGATAGCAACATTCCTTAATACACAGACCTTTTGGGAATGTTTCCCAATAGATTTCAAGTAGCTAAGATTGGAGACACCTTCATTTCAGAGATGCGGATGCGGGCGCTACCACACCTGCCTGTGCAGATCTACTAGCCATTTTGTGTTGGTGGTTTCTCATTTTTGTTGGCTTTTTTAAAAGTACAGAGATTTCAAGATTGATTTGTATTTGGCCTACAGTAATGCTATTTAGTAGCCAGTCTGAAGTATGCAATCCTATACCTGGGATTAAGCTCTATTGAACTCACTGGGGCTTACTTCTAAGTAGACTTGTATGGACTTGCACTTTGAAGTTGTTTTTTTATATACAGGCTAGCTTAACTAAACATAACTGTTAAGATGAGGGCAAAATGTTAGCCAATCTTGTATTTTATATTTATTTCATTAGGCAATGGAAGACTGGGGCAGTGGACTGTTAATTTTAATTCAGTTAATTAATTATAATTAACAGTTAGCACCTCCTTTTGTTTAGCACCAGACATCATAACACAGATAAATCCTTTGTGGTATAGAGAACAAGGCAAATTTATTCACTAATGTTTCAAAGTACAACCATGACCACTTATGTGCAGTGTAGCTAATCACTGCTTTGAAAATTCTGCATGCTAGTAATATAGCACTTAAGCACCATTCCCCCTTAAAAATCAATGACAGTAGAGACTTTCACTCCATATTTATTTTTGTTCTCCACAATTCTCTACAAATTTTAGGTTGTTTTTTTTTCCCCTTAAGCCGGTAAGGTGTTAATTAAAGGTATCGGGGAAGGAAGGAAGATATTTGATTAAAAAGTGAGATTTAAAAGCTAAGCTTGCATTAAGGGCTTTCTAAAAGTACAATAATAAATCCTCAGGTAGTCATGGGAATCTTACAGAAAAAGTTACCTGTGAGATTGTTGTTCAGACCAGAATTTGAACGGAGGAACATTGTTAAGTGATCAATATTTAATAGTAATATTGGAAACATGAAAAATATTGATATGCGTATAGAAAATGGTGTAACTATATAATGGCTCATCTGTGTATTTTACTATACAGTTAGTGATTGCTTTGTCCCCATCATACTGTTGTTCAGTAGAATATTGTTCAGAAACAGCATTTGTATCCCATTTTTATTCAAATGCATGTGTAAAAATATTCTGATCAAAATCCATGCGCTTGAAAGGTTAGAAGAATTTTTCATATTTTGGCTTTCTGATGTGCCCTGATTATACTTGCATGACCTGATCATTTAAGTGGCTGTGGTTCCAAGGCTGTTACTGAAGTAACTTCATTCAGCCAATAGTTTGGTAGGGGTGTGTGTGTATGCGCTCTCTCTCTCTCGCTCGCTCGCTCTCTTTTTAAACAAACAAACAAACAAAAAGATGAGTTTTTATTCAGTTTTCTACGTATGCCTTGGTAACCCCATTGTATACCACTCATTTCAGCCAAGTATAGTACAAACATTCCAGTGTGTGTACAAGCCATATTCACACCTCTCTCATGTGCACACACCCTAGTTTTATGATGCAAATAGCTGAAACATGAGTGTCCTGATACACAAATTTCGTTTCTGATTCTCCAAAGAAGCAGTGTTCCCCCCACCCACCCCCGCCATTTTTCTTTTTTGAAAAGGCCTCTGGAACCAAAGTAAGATTTAATGTCTGTTCTTTTGTTATTGTTGTTCTATAGAGAACAAGGAATTTAAAAATAATAATCAAAACTCACTCAGTCTTGATCCAAAAAAAAAACCCAACTCAATGGGTGATAAAATAATTATAATCTTCTTCTTCCAAGGAAGAAAAAAATTGAATCCAGAATGTCTCTCTGTAGAATCCACAGGGACTTGATTGTACTGTACTTTCATACCTTTAATTAGGAAGAACTGAACATCTTTTTCCTATCCAGAGTTGAAGAGAGTAGGGGAAAATACCAGCTCTGGCTAACTTGCCCTTTTTAGGCCTACCAGTGTCACTATTTGCCTTTTATCTATTTGAACTGCAGAAAGAGTTGTACTGTAGAGAAAACATACAGTAGAATGCCCTAGTTAAGCCCAGTGAGGTGTGTATAAGGCTTATAAAGCTGAATTGTAAGCATTTTGTTTTGATGTCCTGTATATGTATGTAGTAGTTTTGGGTGTGTATATACAGTAGCGTTTCAAAGTGGATGTACTGGTTAACCTATTTGAGGGGGGGGGAATGGAAAAAAAATCCATGTTTAAACTTGTTAGAAAGTTAGTGAGCTGCTCTGCTATATGCCTTAAGCAAAATATTTACTCATCAGGTCTTTCTTTTTTACAGATTGCCATAGACAACTTTTTGTAAAAAAATAAATAAAATAAAACTTAGAAAAAAAAATCCACAAGCTAAATGTTTTGGTATAATACATTTTCAGGTATATTGTCTTTTGTGTAAGGCACTACAATGACCTCACAGTTTCAGTAAAACTGTACAGTTTTTCAATTTCCCATACAGATTTTCAGTTCTCATTTTAGCCGCAACAATAAAATTCTTTTGTAAAGAAGCATCTGTCTGATATGTCTCCATTTCCTCCACCTTTTTTAAAAAAAGTGGCTGCATAGGCACTGCATCAAGCCAAGCTGTGTGCTGTGAGGCCAGCGTACATGCAACTTCCAACTTCATAGGTTTGTCTGTGAGATGCGAGTGGTTGCTTTTTAATGCAGCATGAGTGAAAACTCCTCTCCCCCACCATCCTGATTTAATTTCAGTAAGGAGCATGAACAATTTGTGGAAACAGCTGTGCGCTCAGGGGACAAAACTCATATGGTTTGAATCTTGGACCAATAGAACTAATGCTGAATCTTAAACATTGGGTTAGTTCAGCCACAATGCTACATGTACGAACCTCAGCCTTACATGTTCTCCCCAACACCTATATCTCTGGCACAGCTGCATGGAGGAAGCTGGGAACATGCATTTCTGTTTTTTAAGCTGGAATTTCCAGTTACAACCAAGGTTGGGAAATGGTTCGCTTTAACCTATTATAAGCAAATGGTATAGTGTACTATAGAGCAATGGACTAGGACTCAGAAGGCCTGGGTTTGAATCCCTGATCATCTCAGTGGGAGTGAGGAACTGTTAAAATTACTTCTTAAATATCTCAGTTACCTAGAAAGCCTTATTAGGATCACTGTTAGTTAGGTCCAACTTGACAGTACGTAACAACATAACAAATCAACTGGGCACCTTTAGGATGATGGAGCTATAGCTCTCTTAGTATCTTTATAAGCCATGATGATTGGTCCTAGTGGAAATGGTAGTCCAAAACATCTGCAAGGTTGACTAACTTTTATCTTTTGATCACAAGCCAGATTCCTAAAACATGATTCAATATAGCTTGTTCATGCTAATCAGGAGCTCCCTGTATTTGAATGTAACGTGAAAGTTGACTAGAAACAGGCAGTGCTGGGGGTTTTTTGCAGCATGCTATTGAAGAAAGCCTACTGTGTCTCGGAGCTTCATTGTCCTGCCCTTCTTGAGGGTTTCTCATTAAAGCATTGGAAAGAACAGAATGCTAGACTACATAGATAGCCCTTTGATTGAATACAGCACACCGCTCTTAGTATGTTAACTGAGCATTAGGAAAAGGACCCACTTGAAATAGCATTAATTGTCCCACTTTTGCTAGCAAATCTGAATTATTTTGTCTTCTCAAACTGTCTCAAATACATTGTTTTGCATTTAATGTCAAGGATGAAGAAAAATGAAATGTAATTTCAGATACTTTAATAAAATCTTTTTTTTAAAAAAAAAAGGTAAATTAATTTCAGCAATAAATACCAAAAAGTACAAAGCACAAGGTACTGTATAAAATATGTACATTAAATGTCAAGGGATAAGATCCAGTGGTAGGATCTTGCATGCCTGTGTGTGCTTACACACACTGTTATCTCAAAAGCAAAATCACCCCATGCATTCAAAGCTTTAGTCTTGTTTACTCCAATGTAGGTGTCAGTGGGTTCAGTAAAACTTCTAGGTAACTATACTTAATATTACATCCATAGGTTACATGAAAATAGTTTTTGGTTATGCTCTAAGCAAGAGTCTTAGAAGTAGGCATTATCCCATGCCATTAGACCTTATCACCTGGAATTTATACAGTATTCACTTAATCTTTCAGGGTCAACTCAAAAAACTAACAAATGGTTTTTGATATCTTTCATAACTCCAAGCCACATGGATCTTGGGATAATAAAATACCCCCCTCCCCACAAAAGATACAAGTGTGGTAAGAGATGCGGTGCACTTTCTAATTTAGTTGGTTTGGGGGGAGTCAATCTCATAGCTTTTTGTATGCAGAAAGAAGACTAAATGGCTGGTTGAAATTTGGAATCTGATTGCTACCATGCAAACAACAATCTGCAAGAGAGACTATGTTCTAGATCTACTTTTGGGTAAGATCTACAATGAAAAAAACACACATGGAGTAGCCTATTCCACAAGTTCAAATTAAAATGTAAGTGTGTGTAGATTTAATTGTAGAAAGTAGGTAAGATCAACATGTACCTTACATTTCTTTTTCTTAAAGACCCAAATGTCTTTGCATTTCATCTTCTCTCCAGTGGCACAGCAAGAAACCCAGAAGGAGATTTCAGATTGTTTTACTTCAGCTATCCAGTCATGAATTTAGAAATCTTTGTTTAAAAGTTTTAAATTACAAGATTAAACAAATAAATGTACAAAGTATTCTGTCTTCTGTGTCTATGCAAAGAGTGTTTGCTTGTCACAATCTGGAGTTATAAAAAGCTGTCTCCTCTTTACTGGCCTTAATCCACTGTAGTTCTACACTGATCCCTCTGTGAGTTTTTAACTGCTTCATCACTGAAATCCAGCAGCTTCCATGAACAGGTTTTAAAAGATGCTCTTTAGATCTCACTCTAGGTTCGCTCCAGACTAATTTGTTCTTACAATGAAGACAGATGAATTCAGATTCTTAAGAGTTTGCATTTCTTTGTTGTGAGAGCAGAGTCACCAACCTGTCCTACATTCCTGTCAAATGTGTTAAAACCCTGAAATTGTTCCTCCTTTGAGGTTCCTGGTATTTTAAAAATCCACCTGAGACAGGCATGCAACTTTACAATTTCTTCTCCAATCTGTAGAGCTTTCCACATGCTAATAAAAGCGAGTTAAAAACCAAACTCAACAGCCAGTCATCTTTGACAGTACAGTTCAAAATACTGTAATCTCAATTTCAGCTTCTTGATCCATGATATCCCTCAGTTCACAACAAATTTTGTCCATTTTTTCAAAGGCCAGTCGTCCTTTTTCACCTGCAGAAAGAGAGGGACAAGCTGGGAGAATTAGACAGCCACTGTTGCCCTGTAAAATGTGTCTTCTGTTTTTATTTAATTCTATTCATTGCTTACATTTACATCCCACTTTTCCATGGGAAAGTAGCAATCAAAATGACTAACAATTTTCATAAAACAATTGCAAATAAACAAATGTTTATTTGGTTGTTATGGGTTTTTCGGACTCTTTGGCTGTGTTCTGAAGGTTGTTCTTCCTAACGTTTCGCCAGTCTCTGTGGCCGGCATTTCAGAGGACTAGAGTAGCACTCTGTGCTCAGTGTTACTCATGTCCTCTGAAGATGCCAGCCATAGAGACTGTTGAAAGGAATAACAACCTTCAGAACACGGCCAAAGAGCCCAAAAAACCAACAACAACCATTAGATCCTGGCCGTGAAATCCTTCTCACAAATATTTATTTATGTACAAGATTTACCATTTTACCAATGTTCTCTGATTCTTCCCTCCAGAGCAGTGGTACCCAACCTTGGGTCCCCAGATGTTCATGAATTAAAACTTCCATAAGTATTCACCACTAGTGTGCTGGCCAGGATTTCTGGGAGTTGTAGTCCAAGAGCATCTGGAGACCCAAGGCTGGGAAGCACTACTCTAGAGCAGACGTGAGCCTTTCAGATGTGACCTTCCAGATGTTGGACTTTTAATTCCCACAAGACGTAGTAGAAAATAGCCAATGCTAAATAAAGGATGAAGGAAGTTGGAATCCAAAATATGGAATGATAGAACTACTCCCCATTCCCCAAAAGATTATTGCCTCTGAAGTGATGAAGCCCAAGGAGTGCAGTCACATGGAAATAATTTTACATGTCTAACAACCTCCTCCAGTAATACTGAAACATCTACTTAAAATACTTGCACCGATTCATAGAGCTGAGCAAAGGTTGGCTGCTGTTTAAAGAACTTTAATAAAAAATTAGTGAGGCTGCCATGAAAAGTCAATTTTTCTAGGCAAACCCTCTGAAAATAGTCACATAGTGTTTTTTTTCACATTTCATATCAGACAAAATCCAAAGAAACAAAACAGACATTAATCTTAATGTACGTTGAATTGGATGTGCCCATGAAAGCTTACATTAAAATGTAATGATTAGTCTTTAGTAATGATTAGACTTCAAGGTGTCACATGTTTTTGTCACTCTCTTTTTCTTTGGTATTGTTTTGTTTTGTTTCTTTGGATTTGCCTGATATGCTTGCAGAGACTAACGGCTACCTCTTCCAAAATTTCACATTTCAGTTACTTTTCCACAGCTGAACTAGAAAATAAGTGGTTCCCATTATAACTTCTCCATCTTCTTTGCACATTTCCTATGGTCAAGAGCTGTGTATTCATCTGTTCCTCTATAGCAGGGGTCCCCAATCTTCGGTCCAGTGCTGGTCCATGGACTGGCCCAGACCAGGCTGTGGAGACAGATCTCCC